CATCACTAATAGAGTATAAATCTAGAGATTAAAACAATATAAGAGTTGTTATGAGAGTATTGATTTGCAAACAATAGAGGAGGATAGAGTATATAGCAAGCAAAGTGACAACAATGAAAAAATTAGGGTTTAGTTTTTTTTACTCAAAAGGTGTACATTGAGATTTCTTTTGTTTTTAAAAGATGTGTATGAGAATATTTTTATATAATATTATGGGTGCTAGTGAATGTCTATTATAATCATTTTAATTTGAGATATAATTGTTATTAAATAATATTTTATTAAATATATACATTAAAATAATTAGATGTATGAAAATAAAATGGGTGATTCTACTTACACCACTACTTTACCTCTTTACACCCTCCATATGATTTTTTTTCCCCCTCCAATTTTATCCATGTGTGAAATTACCTTTAAGGACAAAACACTAAAATTAAATATATTTTGTTATCTCCTTACACCCCTTGGTCTTCAATCCGTGCTCCTCTTTTTCCTTTCTTAATTTTTCTTCTCTCTTATACATCTCTTTTCAAAAAGTGAGAATCATAGTATTTTGATCATTAAAGAAAGCAATGGATGAAGAAACGGTGGTGAAGAACCATAAAAAAAGTGAAATGTTGAATTTTTTTTTATTTATCTGATAGGTTTTTGTTTCATTTTTTCGGACTGATGTTCGACTTTCGTTCAGTGGTTTGAAATTAAACAAAATAAAATAGTCCGACATCACATTGCCGAATAAAAAATACAAGTCTAGTAACAATTACCAAATAAAAAATACATTTCTGGTAACTCCAAACTGAATTTTTTTAATTTGCTCGGCTTCTCATTACCATGTATTTTCAGTTTCATTTTTTTACATTTTTTATTTTTTTGCCTGGAAGGATTATACTTATAGTCATTGTAACAATGCAAATACTACAATATTAGTGGACTCTAGTCATGAATTCATTATAGACGAGGTTTGTTAAGTTTTTTTTTTTTTTTTATGAATACAATTTTTTTCCTATTTTTAATTTGTATTGAGTTTTATTAATTATTTAACGTATAAATGTATTTATTATCTTTAGATTTTTAGTAGTCGTGAAGCATTAATTAAATAGACTTCTGACGTTGGGAAGAAGACTAGATTTGTCATTGTTATAAAAAAGATTAGATGCGGGAGGCAATGGTAGAAAACCAAGACTTACATTTACTTGTAAAAGAAATGGTTACTATAGAGACAACAGGAAAATCAAGAGAGGAACGATTGAGGTTGACAGGTTCTAAAAAGTGTGAATGTCTATTTCTAGTAAGGGGGAAAAATTACCTACAAATTACCAAGACGAATTTTGATAACATATTTGATCGATAGATGCAAACAATGATAGATTTTATGGATACTTTATAGATAGTCATACACTTGATGTTTTCATGAATAATTTTATAGATACTTTTTATGTATGATTTTATGGGTGCGTGTTTGATTTATGAATTTTTTATGTATGCTTCAAGGAAAAAGTAAATCTTTCAATGTACAACGATGGGGGCCTAGACAACTCTATTTTAGTTTGGCAACATGACACTAGAGTAATCCCATTTGTATATCTATGTATCACTGAACATGCACTTCACAAGTGGCTCAAATTAATTTCTTGTTATCATCTAATTGGACTACAACGCAATTCTGGGAAAAAAAATATTGTTCGGTAACATGGCACTTGAGTAATTCAAATTAATTAGCGTTGTATTACCGAATATGCCCACCACAAATTAAAAAATCATTGTTTGGAAGAAAGTATCTCTGTAAATATATAGTAACAAAATGCTCAAGAGATCTATTTTTTCCGGCAGCATAACACCGAAATAATATAAATTGTTTAGTACTGTATTACAAAAATTAGTGGTGTAAAGAGATGAAATAGTTAATTTATGATTAGTTTTAAAAATATATTAGAAATGAGAATTATATTTTTTTTAATGATATAATGAGATGAAAAATATAAAAAAATTAAATAATAGTACAAATAAAATCACCCAAATAAAATTTATCCAGTATAACACTTTCCTTTCATTTTTCTGACCTATTTTTCCTTTCTATTATATGTTAAACTGTTCAGTCAGAGAAAGAAATTGTGGGAGAGAGACGACAAATACTGAGAGATGTCAGGCTTTCTCTAACATTGCCGAATGGTCTTTCCATCTTATTCCTATCGTTAACCATCATCATCATCGTTAAGTTGGGTACATGTCTCATTACTACAATTTCAACCGTCATAATTGTTTTGGCTGCTATGAATATGTTTAAGTAAAATTTAGCCTTTTTATAACAGAAACTCTAGGTGTATAGACGACAAAATATATATTTAAATATAGAAATTATGCATTCAACGGTCAGTCAGACGATGAGTTAGCACTTGTCGATTATGATTGTTATGATGTTTTCTGATCGTTCAGGCGATCATCCGGTGGAATAATTTCTATATTTGGTTCCGTATTTGATCCTCTGTATACGTAGTATTACTGTTTTTATAATGTAATAAAAGTTCGTGTGTTTTAAAATAATTTTTTTAATTAAATAAATAGTTGTGAAGAAAAATATGATTGATTGTTTGATTCAATCATTTGCTTGTTGTGACTGTTCATTGTAAGATATATTGTACTTTTTTTATAGTAAAATTTTACTTTTATGTGATTTGTTTGTGAACTTGTAGTGAAAATATGTTTCTTAATTAATTGATAGTAAAATTTTACTATGAATCAGAATAGAATTTTACTATTTTTGTTCATTTTGACTTTTTATTATTATTGTTTATTTAATAATTTCATAGTCAACTTGAATTTTATTTAATAAATCTAGATGAAAGAATTATAAAAATATTAATTTTATTAAAAATTGATATATAGATTAATATACTATTTTAAAATTTAAAATATTAAATTACTCACTAAGAATATTTTAATAATAGTATTGTGTGCTAAACTTTTCAAAAAAAAACTTTTTTATACATATTCTTAATACATTAAACTTTTACTATAAATAGTTTTTGATCAAATTCCCCTATATATAATAGAAGTGGTCATGTGTGTGCATATCTGCCTATGTAATTCGTATTAGATTTAATATGTATATTGAATATAGTGCATAATTATCCATATAATTACTATTGGAATATTTTAAAAAAAAATTGATAAATTGAGACATCAACGTTAACTCACATCTTCTCTTTTAAGTAGATAGAAAATAAACAGATAAATTATATATAAAGTATAAATAGTCAAACATATATAAAGTATACGTAGCCAAGTATTGATGAGATGAGATTACCCATTGAAGTATAAATTATATATATTAAAATAATGAATGGAAATTAATGATAGGTAAAGTGGTTGCAAAGTTGCAATTGTTTTTGTGAAGGGGTAGTAGTAGTACATCACATCTATATATATATAATAATAATAATTTTTCTAGGATTACCTTATGGATTAGTATATGACTACTTCAAACAGATAGATTCTGGAACATATTTATATGAAAGAATATATAATTTTTGGAAAAATATCTGATGGAGCAAGATCTAGAAGGATGGGATGAAATGTTTAAAGATTATGATGAGAATTATGATCTTAGTGATGTCATGGGTATGGAATCTGGAGAATGCAATGGATTGACAAAACTATGGACAGATTTGCAAAACCAAAGGCTAAATAGGCTACACACCCATGTGACCTCTCTACCAACTTGTCTTTTTTTCCTCAATAACATGTGATCATCTAACAATAACCACCTATTTGTCTTTTGTTTGTTTTCTATCAGCAATAAAATATAATATGTAAATTATTTTATGTTTATAAATTAGGTTGAAGTCCAGACTTGAAGTCCACAAGTGCTTATATAAAGGCCTTAAGGGAGAGAAAAATGAGAACAGATTACTTAAAGTAAGGGTGGGCGTGGGTCAGTTGCAGCCACGGAACCTTTAATCCGTCATCCGTCCGTCAGATTGGCGGGTTGGAAAAAATTAATCCGCATTCGTCCGCCAATCCGGCGGATGCGGATAAAGCAGTTTGGCGGATGAATGCGAATCGGTTTAGCGGTTTGAAATTTTATAAATTTTCAACATAGTTCAACTTGTGCACTTTCTCAAAAAAAAAAAAGTATTACAATTAATAACTTAAAAAGTATTACAATTACTGCATGCCTTATCCAAAGAAGGAAAGTTTGAAACTTTAGAATATCACAATCACTTCATGCCTCATCCACATATTACAATTACAGCATACCTCATCCACATAAAGTATTACAATATGTGGTTCTTCAAATATAAAAACAACAATCTGTGGTTCTTCAAATATAAAAACAATTCAAACCACAAATATCATGAACAGAGCAATAGTTGAGATTGTATGTCTCTGTATTGTTACATTTATATATGTTTTGAAAACTAAAACCAACCAGCATATTTCATATTTTCTATTTATTACTTTTAGAGTTAGATTTAAAAACCAAAAAATATAAATAAATAATACGTTTATTTTTTTCAATTCAAAAAATATATTCAAGTCAACAGAATATTTGAACTCTTTTTCAATTGAAAATACAAACAAAATATTTAAATAAATTAAAAATACAAAATCTTATAAATTACTAAGGGTAGTCGCGATTTGGCGGTTCGGTTGCGGCCAAAGGAACCTCAAATCCGCCATCCGTCTGCCAAATTGACGGATTGGAGAAAATCAATCCGCAACCGTCTGCTCGTCATCACGCATTCGTCCAAAATGCGACAAATCAATTTGATTCGATTAATTTTAACGGATCAATATATCCATTGTTCATCCCTATCCTAAATGACCCCACTTAAAAAAATTCGTAGCTACGCCCCTCGGGGGAATTAAAATGGGCCGGGGCGCACTGACTCAACAAAAACAAAGACTAGGAGCACAAAAGGGCAGCCATTTTTATATCAAAAAAATATAAAAAAATCTGCCTAAGAGGCTGCCCCCACCTCAACACTCACTCACTCACCCCATCATTGCCATCAAGAAAGCGCTCTCTCTACTCTCCCTCCCTCTCTCTCTCACTCTCTCTCTCTCTTCCAACTAAGAACCACAATACAATCACGCCCACACAATTCCCACAAACAACAGCATTCCTTCAATATTTGTCATTGTCTCTCAAAGCACATTTGCCATTTCATATTAGCGTTTTTAGTTTTATGTTTATAAATTTTAGGGGTTAATTTGGTTTTTTCTTTTCTTCAATGGGTTTGGTGTTGGTTGGTTGTAAAATGATGAATGAAGTGGAACATGAGTTTTGATGATGGGTTGTTGTTGTTGCTGTGTTTGGTGAGTGAGTGAGTGAGTCAGGGTTCAGCTTCAGCCTTGAGCTGTATTCTGCTTTGAGTGCATTATGGGAAATTGCTGGTGTAGATGGCAGCCTCCTTCAATCTACAGAGTCTCATCCAACGCCAAATCAGGTCTGCTTCCTCTCTATATATAAATCCTTTTTTTTTTTATTTCTTTTTTTCTTGTTTTGATTGATCGTTGGCTTCTGGATTTTTTGTATCCTGTTATTACACAGACGGGTCTATGTCGTTCAGGTTTTTCTGAACTCAATTAGTTGATGATATTGATCTCAACTCTCTGCATGAAGCGATCATACTCTCTTTTTTCTTTTTCTTTTCTTTTCTCTGTTTTTTGGACTGTTATTCTTGGTTTGTTTGAGTTTTTATTAATTCTTCCTTTGCCCAGATTATTTTGATTTCCATTTTGGAATTTCCAAAAAAAATAAAATAAAAAAGAAAGATAGTAAGTATTTTGATCTTTGAAAGTTGTATCTTCTAATTCCTTTTTTTTTTAATATATATTTTTATCCCAATATAGTGGGTGGGGTTCTTTATTCTTGTTTAGGCGTACAAATTAGACAATCTAAATTACTTTTCAAAAGTTTCCTTTTCACTTTAGAATGTTGATCTTTTCCATTCACTTTAGTCTTTCGAAAAAAAAAAAAAACTTCACTCCGAGTTGTAATTATAACATATTATCATTATATATAATTTTTTATAATTTCAATTTGACTCACTCCTACCATTTTTTCAATCTTTATAATTTGAAGTTTTATATTGATCTCAATCTTTCTCGAAACTCACTTGCTGGATCAATTTGATATATCGAATATTCAAGCTCTAATTTGTCACAATTATAATTATAGGTACTAGATTGAAATTTATCTCGGAAATTATAAAGACTAAATTGAAGTTATCCCAAATTATGAGGTTCAAAATGCAATTTATCTCTAAATTTAATATAATTGTTGCCTGAGAATTATTTTGTACTTTCTTTTTTCTTTCTCCTTTTTTATTTTCTTTATGTATCCATGGCTTTCCCTTTTACCTCCTTGATAATAGTTAATTATTATCTCTAAATTTTTATATACATATTTTACTTGGAATTCTTTCTTTTCTTTTTCCTTTTAACTTCCTTTACGCTAGTTATTATTAACTCTAAATTGAAATTTAACCTTTCCCATTTTCGAATAAAAAAAAATGAAAAAAAAAATTTGTTGTAGAATATTTTATTACATAACTAAATTTGTAGTTCCTTAGATTGATGAGATCATAAGGTGATTGCTTTAATTATTTCCTGGCATGGATAGATATCTAACCGTTGAATTTAGTAAGCTTTGATTCTGGGCACTTTTGAAGTTTGATAAATTTCTTTTTCTTCCAATAAGTGGAGTGAACAAAATTAATGTGATTTGTGCCCTTATGCCGTGTTTAGTTGAGAAATTTGGAAAGAGATTTAGAATGAAAAAGAAAAAAGATAAGTGAAATGTGAATAAAATATACCTATATTTCATATAATTTTACACATTTTTTTATATTTTTCTTTCCAAATCCCTTTCCAAATTCCCAGCCAAACCCAACCAAACCCAGCGTTAATATGGACTTCTTAAGAGCCTATTATGTTCTATCTTTATCAGGGGATGGACTTATGTTCATAATGTAATCATGGGATTTAAGAGTCAGTTCTTCAATAAGCAAACCTTTAAATTTTACAAAGTTTATGCTCTAGGTCAAATGGAAATGCTCTTATTCCCCAGGACTTTTAAGTAAAAAAGTGCATAAAAATAGCTAAAGTTTTGTTCATGGCGGCATATGATAATTGGATTAGTGATGTTATGCTTTGTATCGCCCTTCTTCTTCTTGGTCAGAGTCTCCAAAAGAGCAGAGCCCTTCAGTGGAAGCAAGGAAAGATGATGATAGTAAGCTACCATCAAATCCTGAAGAAGTAGAACACTTGCGTCGTAGTGCAGCGGCAAATCCATTGATTGTGTTCACTTTTGATGAACTAAAGACAATTACCGGAAATTTTAGACAAGATCACATGTTAGGTGGAGGAGGATTTGGAAGTGTTTACAAAGGGTTCATCACTGAGGATCTTGGGAAGGGGCTTCAAACTACTCCAGTAGCCGTTAAGGTTCATGATGGTGATAACAGCTATCAAGGCCACAGAGAATGGCTGGTAATCTCTTAAGCATACTGTACATTTTTATTTTCCTTTATTAATTATTTTATTTTTTGGGTTTGCTGAGAAGAATATTGTGGAATATAGGCTGAAGTAATTTTCTTAGGGCATCTTTCTCATCCAAATTTGGTGAAATTGATCGGATACTGCTGTGAAGATGAACATCGGGTACTGATATATGAGTACATGGCTCGGGGCAGTGTGGAAAACAATCTCTTCTCAAGTACGTATATTTGATCTCTCTTTTACCATGGAAGATCCAGGAACAGGATCTCTTTTTTCTTTTTTTCTTTTTTCATTACATTAATTTGTAACCAAGGGAAGTAATTTTTATTATTTTTCCATAACAAATATTTGAGAGACAAAGTCAAGGAGTGACTATTCAAAGCATGCAAAACAAATTCATATCTCCTTGGTACACACTTATCTTACCCTCCAAAACATTGCTCTTTTCTGCTATTGAGAATGAGAATAGCCGTTGAGATAGCAATTATCGCTGGGCCAACCTACAAATTGGGGCCATTACGTTTTGTGTAGTGGCAAATGTTGGAATCTAGGATCTATGCTTAAAGATGTCATTTCCATTTGATCACTAACTCTTTGTTTGCATTTGAAAGCAAATTGTAGGAAAGAGCAACTTAAGAATGGCTACTAGAGTCTAGAATTACTTCTAGTAACCTACTTCAGATTCCTTTATCAAGGTAAAGAAGGTGATTGTGAAGGCAGGGCACGACCTTAATTGTTATTTACCTTCACTGGGAAAGTACATGAATTGAAGAAATGTTAAGTGATAAAAACAAGATACAAATATGACACAACTGTTAGGAAATTGACTCTTCCTAACCAGGATTGAGAAAATACAAAATAACAAACAAAAAAGATAGACAAATCAAAGAAATCACACACGCACACACACAAGAACACAATGATTTATGTGGTTTACTCTAGAATATGACTACATCCATAACTGTTGCGGTTTTTACTATGATCAAAAAATGATTACAATTCTTTACAATACAGGAGGTGCCCCCTCATCTATGTGTAAGCATAGAAATTTGGGCAACGCAGAAGTAACAAGAAATTATCAAGACCCAACAACAATGTGGACAAACCCTCCATTGGAATCAGGCCCAGTGTACAGTACTTATTAGGGTCCAAAAGACTCAACGACGATATGGACATATACCAATAAGATAAGTTCTTAAAATTTGGTATGTAGAGACATAAAGGACATTATGGCATACATGACTATGTATGTATGTACATATGTATCGTGTATATTACTTAAAAATGTAAATATTTTAGAATATTTGCAAACACACTATCTTTCCTCACGAATCTAATAATGTTAAACTTCACACAAGGAAAGTGAGAGATAATTGTATACATTGGCTTAACATCAAATTTGGCACATTTTAATCTCATTATATTGTGATTTTTCATTTACAAGTAACAAAGGACAATAAATTGTTAGTTCTAGAAATATCATGTCTCAATGTTCGTCGGACACATGTCATAGAGTGTCTGAGTACAGAACGTGTATGACTTGTTAGATTATGTCAATCAATGAGGTTCCCGTGAGGATGTTTATCATGCAAGAGAGGATTGCTCAGCGGCGAGAGTTATTGGAGAAATCAGATTCTAAAAAAGTCATAGGAAATAGTTCCATCTTTTTCTTTTTCTTTTTTTCTTTTTGATGGAAATAGTTTCATCAATTCATCCATTTATAGCCACTTATTGTGTTTTCTCCGAATGGACACAACTCTCACAAATGGGTGTGAGAATGTATAGACATTACTCTTCCTTGTAGAGTTGTGTCTTTAGATTTGAATCCAAAACTCCCCATCAATCCTTCTTTTGCGTGAAGGTTCTCACCAAATTATATGATATTATGTGATTAGACGCACCATTGGTATGGTGTGATCACATCTCACACCATCATGACTCACTTGCAGAGATATCCTTGTTGGAATATGTGTGAAGGTAGAGTCCCACATCAGATAAAAAGTAACAGAGATAGGCCTTAATATATATTAGATGGATTCTCTCCACTTATGGGCTTAAGCTTTTAAGTGAGTATTAGTTCCAAATAATGTATGTTCTAGGGTTTTTTTCTTTTTTTTTTTGGAACAAATGTATGTTGTAGTGTTTGGTATGTGGATTTTAGAGTTTCTCCCTAATGAATTGGGCTGGTGTTGTTGTGCGCTTGTTAGGCTTCCCAATTCCCTAACAATCCTTGCCTCACATAACCAAACCAAACCAAACCAAACGAAGCCTTAAGTCCCATCAAATGGGGTCGGCTACATGAATCCTTCTTCTCCACGCGGCCCTATCTGTAAAGAACAATGAATTTAGATGGCTACTAGAAAGGATAGAAGACTACTCTATCTAACCTATAACTACTAGTTAGAGAAGAGTGATTGTGAAGATGTTCGTAGAATGCACCCAATAAACTCCCTAGGCTAGTTTCTTAAATCTCACTGATTATGGAGTTTTTGGTGGGTACGGTGTAGGTCCTATCCTATGTTGTTTTTTCTCTAAACTTTTCTTAATGTGGATTTCATGCTTTAAGGTATATATATATTCTGTTTTGCTCTTGTTTTTGTTAGATAATATCTCATGCTTTAATATATATGTATATATATATTGTTTCCATCTTCCAGGAGTATTGCTTCCTCTTCCGTGGTCCATTAGAATGAAGATTGCATTTGGTGCTGCAAAAGGACTTGCTTTTCTCCATGAAGCTGAGAAACCTGTCATCTATCGCGATTTTAAGACCTCCAATATCTTATTAGACATGGTTAGTTGTGGAAATTCTATAATCATACTTTGATAATGAGGTAATTCAATTTGGTTTCAAAATAATAGAATGAGGAAAGATTGCATATGATTGCCAATAAAATTTGATTCTGGTTTCCTAAACAAGAGGTGTGAGCCCTGCAGAACCTTCACTGGATACACTTATTATACAATGAACAATATCTTATTTATCTTTTTTTTTTTCTTTTCTTTTTTTAGTTATTGACTTGCCCTAGTTACTCCATCAGTCCACCTAAAACCCACAAATTGATTCACACTATACTTGTATCCTTGTGCAAAATATACTCTCATATTTATTCAGTTATTGTCATCTCAACTCGCTAGCTTTGTTTTGCCATTATGGTTTGTACCATAAAATCTATAAGCAGGACTACAATGCAAAGCTCTCTGACTTTGGACTTGCGAAAGATGGTCCTGTAGGAGATAAATCTCATGTTTCTACTCGCATTATGGGAACTTATGGTTATGCAGCTCCAGAGTATATTATGACGGGTAAGGTCACCTTACCCTTGCTACAATTCATAGCTTAGCTTCTCTCTGAAACAATATTCACTCTACATGCAGTTGTTTCACTCTGTTCCTCACTAGATCAAGATTAAGTTAAAACTTTGTGTACTTCTGATTGGAAGTATGAATGTTTTAGCTTTCTTATGCTTATTTTGAACAATAACAGTGCTGAACTTCCAAAATGTTGAATGTATTTCTCTTATAGTTATTGGTGACTACTCACTTCTCTTTTCTTCTTTAAAAAACTGCTTCAACACGAACTTAAAATCATCTTGTTATAACAATTGCCAATCGCATGTTTGAGCACTACATTGGCAACCATTATACTTTTCACCCTTAAATAGATATTCCACTAAAGATCAATTTAATGGCCACTGTATTTAAGCCCCGTGTCAAAGTTGTTTTCAAATTATTTAGTGCCCCTAGGGAACCAACCACATGGCCATGCCTCACACCAATCACCAATTGTTATCCTCTATGTTATATTTACTAACATAAAGTGATGGGTCTGACTAAAGTGAATAGCTTATCATTTTATGCAGGCCATCTGACTCCTAGAAGTGATGTTTATAGTTATGGAGTTGTTCTTCTAGAACTTCTTACAGGCAGAAAATCTTTAGACAAGGCACGACCAGCCCGCGAACAGAACCTTACAGATTGGGCCCTCCCTATACTCAAGGAGAAGAAGAAATTGTTGAACATTGTAGATCCAAGATTAGATGGAGATTATCCGACTAAAGCAGTTCACAAGGCTGCTATGCTTGCTTATCATTGTCTCAATCGTAACCCTAAAGCAAGGCCGCTAATGCGAGATATAGTGGATTCCTTGGAGCCTCTTCAGCTTCCATCTTGTGAGGTTTCAAATGAGAAGCCTACTCTGACTGTTGTCATTAGTGAGAATCCACAATCAGAATTTCAAACAAAAGAAGATGCAAACTGAAACATACATGCCCTTTATTTTTACTCTTTTTTTTTTTCCCCTTTTTTTTGTTTTGTTTTTTTCCCTGCTTGTTTTCTTACTCTCATGGAGAGCTTTTGCACCATATAGAACTTCGTTTGTGTGTGTTACAAAAAAGAAAGATAAGACTTTTTCTCTTGAATTTATTTGGAAAAATGGTTTACACTTGCTTGAAATTGGTCTTTTCTGGGGGTGCTTCAGCTTGCACAACTAATTTCTGTTGAAATATGATTTGCAATTACTTGCGAATGCTATGAGCGGAGAACATCATGTTGTGTGAGAGACCCAAAAGACTCGGTCACAATTGTTAGGACTTGACCCTTCCTAACCAAGATCGGTGAAACGCGAAATAACAAACAAGGAAAAAAAAAAACGAATCAAACAAATCACACACACACAAGAAGACAAGAATGTACGTGGTTCACTTTAGAATAGAGTTATGTCCACAGTTGTTGCGGTTTTCATTATGATAAAAAAAAATACAACTCTCTCTTAACCTAAAAGAGGCGCCCCTCATCTATTTATAAGTGTAGAATTAGGGTTACACAAAAATAACATGAGAACTACGAAAGTATCGAAAAAATTTCAGTTGGGAGTTAACCTCCCTAGACCCCCTTCCCCCTTGGGGGAGCCCCCCAAACCGCCCATTAGACCTAATGTTTGAGTGAACAGAAATGTTAAGTGAATAATACTTATCAAGGTCCACGGACCTAACAACAATCATTGCTAAGATAGCTGACGATTTTGTATATAGAGTAAAATAATTATACAAAAATATGCACATCAAAGAGAGAGAGAATCACAAATTCATAAGACACTAAAATTTTCATGGTTTGGTTTAAGCTTACGTCTATAGGCAAGAGAGAGACTCTATTAACACAAAGAGAATGATGTTCTAAAAAGTTACAATAGGGATAAATCAAACTATTATAAATAATCAAGTTCACCAAACCCAAATACTAGTTTTCTCAAAATTCTTTCTACATGAGTCACAAAACTTGAAGTTTCAACCAATAGACACAAATGAACAAATCTCAAGGACCCACCAAGAAGACCACCAAGCGATCACAAGGCACACAAAGAACCCCCAAGGGGGCACCCAGATCTACTGAAGAATTGAAAAGTTTATTAAAGAAGAGAGAATCTTAATATATTTAGAGTGAAAGAATCATTTCCAAAGCTAATCAAAAAGCCAAAATGGCTTTCTTGGATTTCAAATTCAAAAGTGGTAAGAAAACAATCAAATAAAATCTTTAAGAAGTCCAAATCGAAGTCCAAGTTGACTAAATAAGTCTTTCTCAAAAATCATAACCCAATAGTAAATAGAAAACATTAGAACCAAATCAATTTGGGAGTGAATAATGAGCCAAAAACTAACAGATCTTTCGTGAGATTTTTAGCTTCTGCACCAAATCAAATGCAAAACTAAGAAATATAAAATGAAACAAAAATCCATATAGGCAAGATATCAACATACCAAACAAAAAATTAGCAAACCAAACAAGTGCTTTGATGCAACCCAAACCAAAAAGGCTAAAAACAAAATGAACCAATTAAAATGCTTGAGTCATACTTGTCACGCCCCAAAATAATAGGAACCCAAATCCAAGAGTGAGATGAACTAAAGGATCAAACATAAGAGTAACACCAAGAGCAAATCAATCAGATTAAGAATTTGAGTAGGAGTCAAAATGAAATTGAAACCAAGAGAGTAGATAACCAGCACTTCGATATGCATTTCACACAAAACACGAATTTACAAAGTCTTTTGCAACGTCCGTCCATAATTCTAGGTGACATGATATAAATAAGATATGAATACATTTATCCAAAATTCTCATCTTTACAATATAAACAAGATAATTGCATTATGACTTACACAAATAAAAATAGGGCATTCCCCCTATCACATCTGGGTTCCTAGTTATTTACATACAAGCACAAAAAAGGCCCAAGGCGATCACATATAAGTAAGAAGTGTAGGGCCGTCCTTGCCCATCCAAACATGATGCACTATCCAATCTTGAAAACTGTTAACCACGACAAGATGAACCGAAGTCCAATAAGAAAATTCTATGCTTAAGAAAATATGCCCAAACATGGAATATGATCATGATGGCCCTGTTTGGTAGAGCTGTGGGAAAGTACTTATAGCTTATACCTTAACAGCTTATAGCTTATAACTATGAACATAAACTAATTTCTGACTTATAAATTAAGCATCTCCTGCCCCACTCAAAGAATAAGCTGATTTCTGACTTACAAAAAGCTATAAGTTACATTGTTAAGCTAAACCAAACACATCAAAATAGCTTAAATTAAGCTGAAAGCTGAAATAAGCAGCTTTTAAGCTGCACCAAACAGGCACGATGTTAGGTGATATACATTATGGATTTCCAAAATGGTGACATTTCCAATTTACCAATATAGTACGAGATAATCAAAATAATTTTTTTTCATAATCAAGTTTCAAACAAGGCAACTCATTAATGAATCCCTAGGTCAGTATCTGCCAGTGATCTTAAAATGCATGGACCACCGAAAAATCACCCCCATTTTACTAGTTATTAGTCAGAAGGAAAGCGGTACCGACTCCCGCACGAGCTTTTGATCTTTTACCGTGGACACTCTCACCAGCTTAATTCACCAAATATACTACCCGAATTCATTACTCAACCAATATCAAAACATGATTCAACAATAGTTCAATTTCTCAACAATGCAATCCTCCACCAATTAATAACAATTCATGTATATATAATAATCATACTAAACATCAATTTTTCTCAAAGGGGAAACAATTCCAAGCTTTCAATAAAAATAATCCCATTTTCATATTTCCAATTTCCACATTTCCGACATAGGTTTAATTAACAATATTTATCATTAATTTCACAAATAAAAGGGTCACTTTCAATTTCTCCACATTCGTAAAACTCAAGTAACTTAGGTTTTCCAAAAATTGGATCTTTTCCCTTCCAATACAATATACAAATTATATAATGTCCAATTTGTAGTTTTAAGAGAAAGAGTGAGCACAACCGAAGATTTTAATCAAAACCCAATCCACATGCAAGATATGCAAAGCTTTTCACATTTCATAGAGATAATACTGCACATTCACAATATTAATCATATTCCAACAAAAGTAAGAAAATTCCTACCTCAAGCTAGAGAAGGAGAAGGAAGAAGAAGATCAAATATCCAAATTGTTCCAAACGACAATTGGGTTTGGTATAGTTGAAGCTCTCGACGCGCCCTACAACTTTAATTAATGGACTTTCGAAAATTTTCCACTCTAGCTAGATGAAATTAAGGCTTAAAGTTAGAGTGTGAAAGTACAAGGAGTAAGAAATCTCACTATGTTTGGGAACTTAGGAGAGAAAAGAAAAGAAAGGATTACTTAAGCAATAAGAGTAAAGAAAAGAAAAGAAATGTTTGTGATTTCTCTCCTTTTTGTTTGGATAAGGAAGAAGTAAAAGAAAAGAAATGATTGTGATTTCTCTCATTCTTGTTTGGTTAGATTTCATTAAGAGAAAAGAAAAAAAATTATTTTATGTTATATTACCAAAATAACCTTTTTATATTTTCAATCATTTTATTTCTTTTATTTTTATAGGGACAAAATTGGTATTATGAAAATAGTAGTTTCTTTTCTCTCCCAATCTCTCCACTTTTGGGAAGATTGAAAATGAGGCTTATAAGAGAAATGAGTTTCTCTCTATTTCTCTCTATTTCTTCCCATTTCTCTCTACTTAAGTTATCCAAACAAATAAGAGAAATACATATCACTCCATTTCTTTTCTTTTCTCTCCAAATCACTCAATCCAAACATAGTGTTAAGGATAGAGAGAGAATATAGAGAGAAAAGTAGCGTGAAAATATCTAAGCTCCATGGGAAGTGATTGAGATCCCTCCAATCACCATTTCACTGTCCCCCACACACACGTGATGGGTGGTGATTAGAGGAGAACGAAAAAAAAAAAAAAAAAAAAAATTGGTCAATCAGAGAGAGAGGGGATCAAAGGGGGTACCTCGTTGAGGGGTCCAACTCATTTTCCATATAATAGTGTAGCATAAAAATCAGACCAAGAACATGATTTTTCAAGCACTAAAGTCGAACATACCGCTCGAGTTGTCAAAAGTTCGCTCGAGCGATGAATTTGTACTTGTAGTATCTCTATTTTTGAAATAAACCGCTCGAGTGGACAGTTGTTCACTTGAGCGGTGCTTGGATGCGTGCAAGATGTCTATTTTTGAAAGGAAAAAAAAAGAGCTATCCAAGTTTGTAACGAGTCAAATAAAATTTGATTTATTTATTTATTTTCTTCTTTTCACTATCTATTTTGTAATCTTCTTAATATATTTGTGGGCTTACTACAACAAGTTGGGTCTTGGATGATGAATTTTTTTTGTCTCCAAAGAGCTAATTTCGTCACTATAGATATTTGTGAGGAAATGTTTTCGTCACCGGATTCGTCATTGAATGTTTGTCACTAAAAAGTATCGTGACGAAAAATAACTTCGTCACCAATGAAATTACTTTAGTGACGAAACTTTTTGTCACCAATAAAACAACATTTTGTCATTAAAAATCCTTATTTTCGTCACCAAATAGTTATTCAGTACCACATTTATAACTTTAGTTGACGAATAAATTTGTCACATATGTTGATCATTGATGAGGAAATAATTTTGTCATAGTAAGATGTAAAGTTGACGAAATTTTTCGTCTCCAAACGTCATACATGGGTGACAAAATATATTTCGTGGCAAAAAAAAAATATATATATATATATATATGTGACGAAATTTTAGTCGCCAAATAACAAAATCAATGAAAATTTTCATATATAAGCTGCAATAAATTTTGTCACAAAAAATATTTATTAGCGACGAATAATCACTTTGTCATAATAATAAGTACAAATGACGAAAAAAATTCATCACTAAACTTGTCCCATATTTTATATTTCAATTTAAATTATTATTTTACAAATATCCCTACTCATATCCCAATAGCCTTTTAAATGTAGTAAGAAATCCATTAGCTAATATACATCACTCCACAAAAAAAATTCACTAAAAACTTTATATTATAAATCAAAATATATCCATCAAACAAATTTAATAATAATCCATTACATATAACAAAAAAAACCATCAAAGCAAATCT